CTTTTCTGTTGACTACTTCACCTGTATAACCATGCGACGAAAATTTAAATTTTATATCAAGTCATTAATGCTTACAGATAGGTGAAAAAGTATGTGAAATAATGCTTTCTTTCTAGCTATCATAGTGGGGTTGACCCAAGACTAACAAATATAGTAGTTTCTATGATTTGGAGGCCCCAAGGATACCGATTCCCCAAATCAATACTGTCCAGTAGCCTTGATGCTTGAAATCTCCTGTCTCCAGGTGACTTCGTAGGGGTAGATGCATTGCCACTTGGGCCTGAAAACTACAGATGTATTTTATAATAGATTAATCTGTCTCTAAGCAGGCTCCTTATCTACATTTTCACCAAATAAATGCCTCCACAAAATCTGAGGAGAAAGAAGTTAAAACAGTGGGAAGTGAATGAGAACTCCAATTCTGAGCACCCTGTAGCTGAGGGCCCTGTCAGCCAAGGTGGTTTCTGAGAATGGAGGGAGATGCCGGAACCCTCTTGGCTTCCCTTCCAAATTCCCCATCATTTGTTAGCCTGAGAATCTGTGTTCAGCTGGACTTGTTTCTCCTTCTCAGCTCACATGTGAACATTCACATGTTGCATTTAGGAAACTAACATACCCCTTCTTATTTATCTTTGAGTGAAGGAAAAAAAAAGGTTTTAGATGAGTCTTTGCTTCATTTTGCTTATAAACACATAATCATCCTACTTGATTTTGTGACACTGGTTTAACATACTCAGCTTCCTCCATTTTTTTTTTTTTAATAATGGAGTTACAGGTCTGGAGTTTTGCTGTAACCTTACAACAGAGTCTGTGAAATCTTATAATGAGCTCTGGGAACCAATGCCAGGATAAGTCTCATATGACAGCATTATTATCCATGGACATAGCAAGGTACAATGTGGATATAGTTCCTAAACCAGTTTGCATTTGGTGAATGTCCAATTCTTTTATGATTTCCTCTATTGTTATCTGCACTCTAATTTCTCTATTGTCCAGGGAAATATATTTATGGGGACAGATTGATGCAGCAGATGAGAAGATACATGGACTGGATGCAAAAGTACTTTGCAAGGGAGATGATTCAAACACGACTCAGGTTGGGGGAAGTGGATTTCGAAAATAAATGAAACTTCAGGATGTTAATGTGATTTATTTCACTTAATGGAGCTGGTGAAAGAAGGCCCAGAGGTAACAAATCCCTCGCCTGCTTAGGCTGAGTAGGGTATCACGTTTCCCAACAGTTTCCCTCTGTCACCTTAAAGAGGACCCTGACTTTTTATTGGAGGAAAGCAACTCATGTTGCTTTAACTCCAAAGAGAGGTGTATCCTGTTCTAATTTGTTTTTCTTTCCAGCCACAAGGTCTGGGTAGGTGTGATCGGAACATTTGACATCTATCATCTTACCAAATGGGCCTTTAAATGAACCTGTCATTTTGTGTTTGAACAATTAGTGCTTTATGACCTGCACATCTGCAAATTACAACCACACTTTTGCATGCATTTTCAAAGAGTAGCCCCATTTCCCACAGTATGGCAGGGGCTTCTACGTTGTGTGACTATCAGAAATTCTGTCTCAACAGCTCTGGAAGTTCCATCTGCCCTTGCTGTGAAATGGCAGCTTCACCAGAAGAATAAACAAGTCACTCCAAGGCATCGAGGTACTTGAGGACATCAGAGAAGCTTATTCTTCATATGCATGTTTACAAATGGGTCGCTGTGTATTTGACCCAGGAAGAAAGTTGTCATCAACTTGTTCCTTGATAAGCTACCAGAAGTGAAGGCATGCCATGTATGAAATAATAAAGTCAGAGGGGGAAGAGACTTTGCTTTGTTAATTTGGATTCACATCTACCTTTTGGGAGCATATTCATTCCATTAAACTGGAAATGCTTAATCTGGAAAAATTGAGGCAGCAGTACAAACAAAATTCCCAAGAATGGAGAAAGCAGGTAAAAATGAGCCAGTTGGCTAGGCTTGGTGGCTCAGCCTGTAATCCTAGCACTTTGGGAGGCCAAGGCGAGTGGATTGCCTGAACCCATGAATTCGAGAATAGCCCTGGCAACTTGGCGAGACCTTGTCTCTAGAATAAATCAAAAAATTAGCCGGGTGTGGTAGTAGTGCCTGTAGTTCTGGCTACTTGGAAGGCTGAGGTGGAAGTATCACCTGAGCCTAGCAGGCTGAGGCTGCGATGGCTGTGAGTGTGCCACTGCACTCCAGCCTAGGCGACAGAGTAATCCAACTCAAAAAAAAAAAAAAAAAAAATGAACCAGTTAAGCAGCCTCCCTCTTTCTTTTGCCTGCACTATGTTTTTCCAGCCTGGAGGCCAGCCAGTTGTCCTGTGCCTCCCACACTCACCACTGCATTAGAGTCAATTATTTGTCTCTTTTTGTCAACATTGAAAGGAGAATTCAGGCCCTGCCAAAGTGACTCCACTGAGTGAGGCAATGATTTATAGATTAATTATGTTAAGGAACAAGGTGTACAGCATGATGCAGTGGAAAGAGTGCTGTGCTAGGTGAAGACCTGCATTTTAGCCCTGGCTCTGATCCTTAATAGCTGATTGACTTTGGGCAAATCACTTAACCTCTCTGGGCCTTAGTCTCCTTATCTGTAAACTGAGGATAACAACAACTGATGATTGAGATGATAAAATAAAAGTCTGGCTATGAAAGTATCTTGTTATCTCTGAGGCACTAAACATACGTAAAATAGTATTGTTGTTATTGTTATTAGACTTCTTTTCTTTTCTTTTTTTTTGAGTTGGAGTCTCATTCTGTCACCCAGGCTGAAGCGCAGTGGCATGCTCACGGTCACCACAGCCTCAACCTGCTGGGCTCAGGTGATCCTTCCACCTCAGCCTTCCAAGTAGCCAGAACCATAGGCACGCACTACCACACCTGGCTAATTTTTGATGTATTATAGAGACGAGGTCTCGCCAAGGTGCCTGGGCTGGTTTCAAAGCCACAGGCTCAGGCAATCCACTCGCCTTGACCTCCTAAAGTGCTGGAATTACAGGCTGAGCCCCCAAAACCGGCCTGTTATTAGATTTCTAGGGGCATGCATAGTAACACCACCTAGCCAATAAAGGGCTCCATTCTTCAGTCTCAAGACCTTGGGGAGTAACCTAGAAGTGATATAGAGGAGAAGACCCTGAGTTTGTTGCCTTTATAATCCAGTCCACAAACCTGCTTAACTCTACCACAGGATGGGAAATGGGTCACATTGTAATTAGTACTAACTACACTCTTTACTCCTTAGCACTAAAGACCTCCCAAATGTTTTATGATCATTAGCTTTTCAACATTAAGGGCAATTTGGGATTGGGGTGTAAACTACGGTTTATAGTTTATATGGAAGAAAGAAAACAGGATGGATTGTTCTAGAAAATGAAAAATTCCAAGGTCATAGAGTATAGGATAGGTTATTCTAAAGAAGGGAAAATCCCAAAGTCACACAGTATATGATTTAGTTCATAATGCTTTATGGAGGCTATAAGCTGAGGGAAGCACTAAGAGATCACTTGTTCAATACAATTTTTCTGTGGTGAATCCATGAGACTGATAAGCTAAATTAGATAGTTCTTAGTTTTCTCCAATGTTACATTTTCATTCCACAGGTTAAGAAAAAAATGAAGGCATTTCTGAAGCCAGCTAAAAAACAGGGTGTCCAGGCCAGGTCCTCTAACTTCCCCATTCAGGGTTCTACCCAGGAGATCCCATTTTCGAACACTGATAGAAACCTTTACTGCTATTCACCCAGAGAGACTTGAATATTTGGACCGGTTTATCATCTTCAATCAGTAGCATGTCTGGTAAGTATTCTGTAAGAAACTTGTCAATAAAATCAAAACATACAAATTGACTTGTGTGCATAGGCAAGTTCAGTAGCTGTTACAAAAAACAAAACAAAACAAAACAAACCAAAACCCAAGCCCAAACCAAAAAAAACAACAACAACAAAAAACCCAAAAAAACTCACTGAAGTCTGTGGCTGCATTACCAATAGAACTGACTGAAAAGTGAGCACTGTTGTAGATTATTTTGCTCATGTGAAGCCATATGACTGGTTTGACTGCTTCCCCCTAGAATTGGGTGGTCGCTTGGCAGTTGCACTGCCATACTTTAAAATTACCAAATTTTTACTGTGAGTGAAAAAAAATGCAAGCATTCCCGGTATCCCAGGCATGACGCAGGTACTCAAAGCAGGCCTGGCCTCAATAGTGAGTGATTATTTCCCGCAGACTGGCAGTTGCTTTAGGGCTGATATTGAATGTTACTATATTTGGAAAGTTGGTCACATCATCCTAACATTGGTTAATGTTCAAGAAGAGACAGGTAGACAGAGTGCTGTGGTGTTTGTAGGTTTCATGTGCTGCAGAAAAGCAATTTTGACAGAGATCTCTGGTTACCTGTGGTGGAAAGGACCTGAAAACACCCAAATCTTTAATTTCCTTCAGGCAGTTCTCTCTGAGTATCCCAGCCCAGTCTCAGTACTATACCTTTATCCCTCCTGCCCTTAATATGTATTCATGGCAATGCTAACATTCACTGATTTTACTTTCATCTTGCTTTTGCCCAAATGTTGCCTTATGTCTCATGTCCTGCGTGTGTCTGTCTGGTCTTTCCAAAGAACTACCCCAAAGAAGGGTCCTAGGTAAATCTGGTGAACCTGATACACAACTCCGGGGCATGCTGGGAGGAGGAGTATTGGAAGGCCTTCTGACTAAACACATTTCTCCAGTCAGACTTTCTTGGTGCCTGAAATTGCTACTATTAGAGCACTTTAGCTAACTAATGACAAAGAAAGCTCCTATTAGAATGCTCATTTAAGGATACTAAACCATTATCGGCCATTAGCACCCTTTCTTCAATTAGTATATCATATAAGCCAGTCAGTCACTTAGGAAAGATTTGGAGAAATGGGACTTCAGATTAGGGAGACTCTGCAGCTTTCATTAAAAAACATAAAAGTTCTTTATCTTGTATAAGGTCCAGCCTTACCCTCAGCCTCCTTTCAAAAGCTGAAACGTTGCCTTTGTTTTGCTCTTTCCTCTGCCGCCACTCGATGAGGTTTGCATTGTGCTCTCCGGGCAATGAGATGTTGCATTTGCCCAGGGTGGGGTTAACCGCCCCAGCCAGGATGTGGGGCTCTGAGCTGAGGCTGATCTCCATCCCGCTGGCAAAGGTGACACGCAGTGAACCATCTGGACTCACCCGATAGGTACTTTGAGTATTCTCTGTAGACGGAAGGGTAAAGGAAGAAAAGGAGGAAGAAAGAAGAGAGCAGAAAGCAGGAAAGAGACAGGTTTAGCTTCAGGAAGAATGTTCGGGAAGGCATGAGTAGGTGGGGCACTGTGGACCTAACTGCCTTCTGGGCTAGACCACCACTCTGACAGGCTGATGCGCCCTCTGACCATTTGGGTCTTGTTATTTTCACAGCTGGAGTATCTTGTTTTTTGGATAAAAGACTCCTGTCTAACACTGCAGGCTGTTTTTGTTTTTTCTATTTCATTTTTAAAGAATTCCTTCCCAAACTCCCTCTCTGACTTGTTGGATCAGCCTCCTCAGTTTGATTTGCTAGAATGAGAAGAGTATGAAGTTCAACTCAGCATGCCTACCACCTGAGGCCAACATCAAAGTTACTATACCCCAGAAAGTAATAACACTGACACAAGTTGGTACTGTTTCTCTTAAGAGTGTCTGGTCCCACAAACTAACAACAGAATGAGGCCTTAATGACTGGGCAGAGAGAAGGCAATTTCTCTTTGGCCACTTCCCCTCTAGTTTCCAAGACATTCCTTTCAAATCCTATCATCATCCTTCTTTATTTTTTTCTTCCATTCATTCTTACTTTCCTCTCTTAATGATAGAATGAGTTTTTAATTCTCTCATTTCACTTATATTCTTACTTGGTTTATTCTAAGTTGTCCTTTTTTCTTTTCCCCACCCATGTCAACATTGATCTAGAATGCTAAGCTCAGTTGGGGTGCAGACTTCACTTCTTTCATATAACCAAGTCAGACCCTGAAAGAGCTTTGCAGATAGCTGGGTGTTAGGAAATGATCTGATGGCAGGGCAGACTTGGCAGGAATTGAACCTTGTGACTCCCACAGAAATGTGGCCCAAAGTTGATATGGGAACTTGTGAAAGCTGTGAATTTGTCTGGCGTTTGGCCTACATAGCTGAAAAACAGGAAGAAGCGTCCATCTTTTCAGCCAGAGGTGAATTCTATTTATTAACAGTGTGCACAGGTTTGAGGGTAGATGTTAAGGTAGGTACTGTTATAGTCAGGCGAGGTTGGAAGCATTCTTACCTTGTTTTAAAATATATATAGTACTAGTTGCTGTTAGGTTGGTTGACATGAGGACATTTTCGCGGTTGGAAGTATCTAGCTCCACTTTTGTCAGCTTCTCCAGGTCACTGTGGAAGCTGCTGACCTCTCCGGTAGGAAATGTTGCATTGGTCAGATGTCCCTCGGGGTCGTACCTGAGGAATGTAACGAATCCTAATTTTGAAGACTTCTGGCAGTGATAACAGGCCTTTGCAAAATAAAAATCACTTGGCAGCTAATACAGTTTAACTTTGAGTGATAACAAGTATTATTAACCTTGTTCAATAAGAAGAAAAAGGTCAGAAGGATGATTAATCAAACGAAGGTATTTTTTGCAGCTTCTGAATTCTTGATGACTTCCTTGAGCTGTGCTGTTTTACAGAAAAAATATATCTGGTAATGAATCACCAGGGTGGAAAACTGATTTATGAATCATGTCCTGCTGTGTGCAATGTTGCAGGGAGGCCTCTTTGCAATTTGGGTCGATCCCATTAGATGTGATAGATCATAAAAACCAGCAGACGGTGCTGTTGTCAAAGGAAAAGGATATACAAAGGGCCCTCAAAGCCTAAGAAGCCAATAAACTGACTTTGCATTATGATGGGAAAATTATAATTTGCTGCTGTTTAAGTTGCCAAATTTGAAATGAATGAATCATTCTTCCAACAAAATGAACAAGCACAGAGGATAATGGAAACATGTTCATTAAAACATTCTGGAACCCCTTGATCTTGGTGTCACTTAAATTTTTTAAAAATCTTTTTTAGAGTATAGTACATAATGTTTTGTAATTTGTCTATATGAGCAAGAGACAAAAAATAATTACCTGGGATAATAGGCAATAACCTATACCTAGAAATATTGTCTAGTGAGTTTACTTTTTAAAAAAATCAGAATTATTGGCAATCTCACTGTCCTCCAAATGAAAACTGCTTCCCTGAAGGCTTTTGATGTGGAGCTGTTCTTTTATTGCCAATAGAACCATGAAAAATAAACACTTCATTAAAAGTAAAGACATGCACTTGGAAACCCATTACTGTTTTCTTTTCAAGTTGCAAATTACACAATATTTAAGCACTTTTATTTGCTTTTAAAATGTTAAACAATTATATTCTTTTTACCCAAAGTGAGCAGGATATAGCCTGGACACAATGGTGGAGTCTGGCTCAACTACCCCCTCCCCAACAATTATGCAAAATGGCATAGTAATTCTGTGTTAATCCACTAGGTTTTAAAGAACTCAGCCTGGGTAGTTGCTCAAATTTTTAAACCTATGCCAGCCTTTGGTAGTCTTGGGAAAAGGGGCTGGATCGTATTTGATAGGAAAAACCTGAACTTGAACCTATACACAATACTGCCTCAAGTTCAGTTCTGTGGGAACATATGCATGTATATGCAAACACACATACACACCATCAGTTAAAACAATCATGTGTATGAAAAAAAGAATCCAATAGGTCATTTGATCCCCAAGTTCTAGATGTTGAATAGGGTGCCCCCTTTGTTTAAATGGATTTCAGTCAAAATGGTTGCTGTGTTGCTACTATGCAGCTAAGGACTCATTTTCAAAGAATGACTGAAGGGTGCTGTTTGTGCCTGGGGTTAGTGGCAAAATTCTTTTCTCTGCCCAGCTTGTTTGCCCATGGCCTGCTCTGGGGCTCTGGGACTACAAGAAGCAGGCCTCTGGCGAGACAGGAGCATGGAAAGGCTTGGATACAGCTCCGATCTTGTCTGCTTTGTCTTCCTTCCAGGAGAGGCAAACAGTATTCAGCCTTTATTTTCCCAAGGTATCACCTTGCTTTTTTCTGCGCAGAGGAGTTTGCAGGCAGCAGACAGAATGAAGCTACTACCTGCCTTCCTCATCTGGGAGACTGTGGCCCCAACTACCTGGATTATGCAGGCAGTTCTGCTCTGTTCCACAAGCAGCAACAGCAACTCTGTCTCATTGTTTTCCCTTTCCTGATTTCTAAAGGGTTTCCTCAGCCCTCAGCAAGGCCACCCTTCACCATTCCTTCAAGAAATATGACCTAAGATGCTGTGGATGCATGTTTCCAGTGCTTTTTTCAGCCTAGGGCAGTTCCCTTCTTTCCTAGTCACACAGCCCCTTGTTTTATTTTATTGTTATTTATTTATTTATTTTTGAGTTGGAGTCTCACTCCATCACCCAGGTTGGAGTGCAGTGGCATGCTCACAACCATCCCAGAGTCGACCTGCTGCGCTCCAGCGATCCTTCCACCTCAGGCTTCCAAGTAGCCAGAACTACAGGTGCATGCTACCACACCTGGCTAATTTTTTTATTTATTGTAGAGATGTCTCGCCAAGTTGCCCAGGCTGGACTCGAACCCTGGGCTCAGGCAACCCCCCTCACCTCAGTCTCCCAAAGTGCTGGGATTACAGGTTTGAGCCACCGCGGATGGCCCAGCCCCTTGTTTTAAAGCAAGATTTCATACAAAGGTGAGAGCAGTGGTTGAGTTCACTCATCAGGGCAAGATGACAAAAACAGATACCAATTAACCTATCCATGTACAGAGGTCCAAGGGTCATAAGGCACAATGAACCTTAGTACTGGCCTGTGGATAAATCTGGTTTCCTAACCCACCCACCAAACAACTTTAAACTAAATCATTGGTGCTCTTTATCTGAGATACATTTTTAGGCTTATTCCCAAGAGCACAGGTATCTTCCTACACATTCTGTTTCTATTCCATCTCCCCAAATTGATAGTGGTATATTCAGAGAGGAAAACTAAAGAGTCCTGGATAAGACTGTAATTACCCAGATAGATCTAGCCGAGACCCTGCTGCCTGGTCCTATTCTGGTGAAAGAGGCAATGGTGTTGGGAATAAGGTATCATTTCCCACAGGTCTGTCCAGTTGCTGGGTAGCTAGACAATTATAATTGCCTCATTTCTTTCTGTGGCTGGATAGGCATTTTTATTTGAAAGTGTACATTTGACTGTAACTCCATCATAAACAAAGCAACCCACTCTCAACACACTCACATACCCCAATTCTGCTAGTCACAGTCAAAGCAATCACATTTGATGGTGTCTGCAGTGTGGTGTATCTCATGTGTTCAATCATTTATATGGCCCTGGATCAAAACATAGAGACCCACCTTTCTTCTGTGGGGTCATTTCCAAAGGAAGAGTGACAGGCAGATGTACACATCAGTGGATAACTCCCACAACTTTGGAAAGATTGCTCAAAGTGGGCAAGAAATAAAGGGAGCCTTTGATTTCCTATGGTTTGTTTGAGTTTTTTTCCCCCATCACAGGGGAATGCATCTTTCCAGACTGAATGTCAAAGAAACAAGTTTAATCAAAATTTCTTTTGCGGTGTGTTTCCCTTTGGTGCCTGCATCCTTTGGTGCAGAGTACAAGCCAATATGTTCCAACTGATCCCCTCAGGCCAACCATGGAAACAGCCCCCACCGCAGGCAGGGTGTAGCACAATGTACCAGGCAAGCAAATTCTGCGGGTAAATTGTGCCATTAAGCAATGACTGCCACCTTCATAGTCACCAGAACTGGGTTTGGTAAGAGATTTGCCATCAAATTGTCCTTTTCTGTCCTGATTTTAGAGAGTTCCACTGTGAGGGTCCCGCAGTACCATGATAGGCTATGTGTGTGTATACTCTGTGTGTGTGTGTGTGTGTGTGTGTGTGTGTTTGTGTGTGCCCCAGTGAAGCAAAGGAAACATATATAAAGGAAATTCAGAATTAATTCTTGTCCTTGAGGAGCATATAGTTTAGTTGGGGAGATGATATTTACACATGATTAAAAATATATTTGGTCTGGTATTTTCTCATAAGGGATAGCCTGCCCTTTCTTTTGAGGATAATTTTAGCTAGAGTTAAACTGTTCAGGGTAGAGCTAGATGCTCCTCCACCTTTGCTTTTAAGAAAACATCACAGATTATAGAAAGGAAATTCATCACTTATTCTTTTAAAGGAAATATTAAGGCGTCAGAATCTCTTTTCACTTTCATGTCAGAAAACTGACCAACTTAATAAGAATTCTTTAGGAAATACTAGATTCCCCTTTCCTCACCAATAACTTCATTTGGCTTCCTGTGATTCAGTTCCAAGCCCATAATGTCCTTCTATCTTTATTTGTCCTTCATTCAATAACTATCAGAGTCATGTGCTAGGACTGGGGATACAGTGCTGAATGAAATTCACAGTCTAGTAGGACAGATAAGATATGCACACAAGTAACTCTAATGCCAGAATATTGCCATGTGCTTATGTAAAGAAGGAGCTGTAGAAGCTCAGAAGAGGCAGAGGCCATTTCCAGCTGGGCTGAGAAGAAGACGGGGAGGAAGAGCAGGGGCAGGTAGTGTTTGAATCCTGGAAGGCAGGAAGAAACTGGGGAGAAAAGAAAGGCATTTCAATCAGGGGCGCTGGCATGAAGAAAAGCACACAGATGGATGGAATATCCACTGGGGACCAGCATTGCTGAAGCACAGGTTCCTCTGGGAAGCTAGCGGGAGATAAGCCTGGAGAGGCAAGCATGGGGGAGCTGGCATACTGGGCTCTGGAAGTAAGCACGTAGTCAGCGTACAATGGAGAGGCATAGAAAGCTTTTCAGGGGAAAAAAGGATGACCCAAACAGTGCTTTGGTGGCAATGGGTCTTGGAAGAGGAGATAAGGAGAAGAGAGAACTGTTAGGAGGCTGTAGCCTCAGTTCGTGTGAGAGAAGATGGCGTTGTCTTGCTTTTATTAAATGTTTTGTGATTGCCTATCATTTGGACTTGTCTTCCTCACCAGACTGTACACTCTTACATCTTTAGAGGGAGGACACAGTGTCTCATTCATCTTTGTATTCCCAGTGTCTGGTGTACAGTAGATTCTTACTACATGTACTTGTTGAATGAATATAAATAGGATGCTGCTAGTGGAAATGGAAATGACAGGGTGGATATGAGAGGCAATGTGGTTACAGAACAGATAGGACCACCTGTAGTGGTTTTGGGAGGCCACACTCGGCTTACGTAGGTGTCCTGTATAGTGCAGGTCAACATCTTTTCCAGCCTCTGTTACTTCCATTCATTCCCTGTCTTTATTTTGTCTCTCCCCAGCATTTCCCATGACAATTTTTTTAGCCCCATGCTTGATCCATATCAAGGGTATAAAGCATAAGGAGAGGTGACTGA